TATATATATATATATATATATTATATATAGTATATATATTATATATATATATATATACTATATATATATATATATATATATATATATATATATATATATATATATTGAATGCAACATCGAATCTGTTTAAGTTCCATATCAGTTCGTGCACTCAAACCTTATAATCAGTCAAAATGCACAGCCGGATACTTCTTCCGGTAGATTATTCGAAACCTACAATGCTCGGTTGTTCCTAAAATCAGTCTCGACCGCGTGCAACATCCCACTTTCCTTTTTTTTATTACTTTAATCTGTGCTGATACTGATTATACACAGGATAAAGGATACGTGCTGATGACGATAAGTGGAGACATATTCCAGGTTGAGCACGATGCAAATGTGCCCCATCCGTATGAGTGCGGCATTACCGTGGTATAGATGCACATCTAGTAAAGCCGCTACGAATATATAGTTGCCTAATATTTGTGCCATACACAAAATGCTGAACTATGAACAGTTGGTAAAACGTATCTCTCACAACGGCCGCACCCTCTGGGTTGTAATTACAATTATGCTGTGGAGGGATCGATGCATATCCCGATACCTATTCTTTCCAGTATTGTATTGTGGTGCCATCGATAAACCGAAACAGAGCAAAGCAATGATCCGCGGGGAGGTGTCTGGCTATCACCCGAGCTCAGATTGCGCTTTCCGGTTGCAGTTGCCATGCTTCAAACTCGGTGACACTCAGTGGTTTAGGTAGACGCTCGTGGACGCTGCCGACCACCGTTGAACTAACGTCGCAAGCCCCTTGGGATATTCTCCCTTGACTTGTGTGCGGTCTGTTCGGACCTGACTGGCACTTCATAGATTTGCGCATGACCGGCGTAGTCGTCGTAGATCATGGGATTTCAATCTAAGAGTGTCCTTGTGCGAGTGCGCTTATAAACGCAGTGTGGTGGCGGCGAGAGCAGGCTCTCTGTACCGCCTATTGCGTCTCGCTCACCACACCATCTGTCGCCAGACGCGCAGTTGCACCACTACTTAAACCCCACAATCCACCTGGAACTCGCTGTTCAGCAAACGTTCACCAGCTAATGCTCGCTAATTCTATCAATGGGAATGGGACCATGATCATGGACGAACAACATTATCTGTGCCTGTTATAAATTGCACAAATGATGAAACGCTGCTGAACTCAACACGTTGTCGGTGAGCGGCGCAGCGGTGGTGCAGTGTCGATGGCAAGATGCTTTTCGGACACTCTGTAGAGGCCTACAAGAGTACCCAGTCAGGCATCGAAATTTTGCCCTGCAAAGGTTCCGTGGAAGATATCACAAAGAAATTATACCACGATTTGATTCGCATGAGGCCGTTGAGGTGCCATCATATCAGCCAGTTGGAGCTGACCTATGAATCGGGACATGATTCTAGATGCTTTGCAAATAGCACAAGGACTTAAAGAGGTTGCAGTCTGCCCCGATTGCTTTCGTTTGGGATCGAAGGGTGTGTACCGGTCAGTTGCTGTGCAAGACTGAAGAGAATACCCAACCTGCAATTCCGTCAATATGCGAACATGTTGATTTATGCCGCAGAAGTGCAAAAACTATGGAGGCCCGAAGATTATTGCCACCGATTTAAGCATCGAGAAGCGCCTCATAGATCAAATCTTCTCCTTGTATTTAAGGAATCTTCCAAAATAAATATGGTTGTTACTTTACAAGCAAAAAAAAACGCTCTTGTCAGCTAAGCAATACTAAATCCGAATGGTTCATTTGTATTACGTTACTGTATTTATCGAACGACAGCGATAGCTGGCCTGTGTTGGCTATAGATATTGTTGGTCCGTAATTTAATATGTTGTCAGACAGCTAGCACGCTCTCGCACCTCGCATAAGTGTGAAGCTCAAGCGATTCTCAGACCCTTTGGAGTCCTCTTTCTCCATCTGCTCGGATTGTACCTCTTCCATCCTCTTTCCCGGGTAGTGCATACAGTTAATTTGCTTAATTGACAAATCCTCGTCGCTTGCAAACGTTTCACTACTTGGCGTCAGCCCACTGAGAGCAGTACACAATTCCATGGTTTTATCACGATTGTGAATTTCTGTACCTTTCGTCGCTATCCCCTTAGGCAATATCAGAGAATCCTGTGTTGAGGTCGGTATGCATGTTCCTTTCATTTTGCTTGTCGGGGCCGATACACACGGCTGAGAGTCATGCGTACCCATGCTCGCCCGGACAGACACACCTTCAGGATATCCCTTACCTATAATCGTAGGCACCCTTGCATCTCCGGTTTTTGCTCCATCCATGACTGACTGGATGACTCTTGCGTCGACATCGACGAAATACTCGCCATCCTTCGTAGATATGTGGGGTACCTTGTTGTCTTCTGTTTCGGTCTCGGTAGCTGTTGCTGTTTCGGTCTCGGTATCAGCTTCGATCTTGGTTGTCCTTGTGATTGCGTTAAAATCAACTACACCGCCATGTACGTCCTGTATTCTCACCTCTGCCAAGACATTGGCACGCCCAGTAGCGCTTGCGGCAGCATTCTTTCCCGCCTCCCCTATAGGTGGAGTAGTATCCGAGTCGCAAGCATGTGGTTCCGACAAGGTTTCTGCGGCTTGGCGTATTTTGCAAGCAGCATAGAAACCTTTGCCCGACTTTCTCCTCGCATCCGTCAGTTGTATGGCTGGAGGTGGACTGGAAGACGGCGACGATGTTGTAAGGTCGATCACATGCATGCATTGTACACTCTCGTTTCCAGCTTGACATCTCTCGAACAATGATTCTGTAGCAGAGCAATCCTTTGCCTCAGATACCTTGTCATCAGTATCTATATATGTTTCAAGCCTATTCTTCATATGTTTCAAGTCTATATTTTTATCATGAGCGTTTCTCGATTTTCCCGGAGAATTGTTCGCGTTCACCGCGATGGACGATGGGTTACCTTCATCGCACTCGCTCCCCTCTGACGAGGATGATATGACCACACTAGCGATGTACCGCCCGCCCTCTCCCCCATGCGCACTGTGATAGTCTGAAGGCTTTTTGTAGCTGAACAGTTGTGCGTGTGTGTGTGGTGCAAGTTGTAGTTGTGTGTGTGATTGCTGTTCCGTGTAAGTGACCCCTTGCCTTTCGCCGTGCGTTCGTGTTTGCTCGCGAGTACGTGGTTTTGCACCATATCCTGTATGTTGTGGGGCCTGAGTTTGTCCTCGATTCTGAATCCGTGTCCACCGGCTGTCATCCAAGGACAGCGCTGCCGGTGGCAGTGTGGGTTCGCCATCTGACTCGGATGCGCTTTCACTGCAAGACACCACCACTTGAGCCTGGCTATATCCTTTTTTACCCTTTGATTTGCCTTGGAGTGCACCTCGACCGCTCGTGAATTGACCTTCTGCCCCAGCTCGCACCGCATTGGTTTCTGTGTGCTTTCGTTTACGGCCCTGAGTTACAACAGCGTCCATGTCCATCCCAGTCTCCTCATTCGTGTTGATCGTGTCGTTCGAGGCCTTTTGTCGCACGTCGTGTGTGGGCTGTTGTGAGTGTGTGCCAGGTGTTTGCTGTGTCACATTGTGACGAAACACATTGTCACTCGTGCCTTCAGTCGTCGTCATATCCGTGACGTGACTACTTTCAGTCCTGCCTCTGTCATTCCTATCTGTTCTACTAGCACGACCCACATCGATAGACATGTCTCGAGCGATCGTCATCTTACGCGTGCGCGAACTTGTGCGCGATCCCAGCTGCACGGGCTTCTCCTTGACATACTCCACGTGCGGCCAGGCATCCAACTCAAACCGTACTATGCGGTCTATCTCCACATGGTCGGTTTCCAGCCGATACCTACTAGTCGCCAGAGATATATCATACTCACCGCTGTCGGCTGCCCGAATCTCCGCAGCTAAGCCATCGTCATCCACATACATGACCTTCACCAACTTGGGTTGTGGCAGGAGTGCCTGGGCCGTGACATCGAAGGCTGTGAATTCCAGTTCGCTCAGTGTCCTATTTCGGTACCGTGTGGCTGTGTAAGTGCGTGCATCCTGTTCGGTGGTGGCGGGTGGCGGGCACAACAGCGCAAAGCGCCAAGTCGACGACAGCTGGCGTCTCTTATGGACGCTCTGGTGCGTATCAGTCGCGTGACAGGTTATCATTAATGGCGTACCACCTTCCGCGTTTCCGCCGTGTTGTTGAGGGGTGTGTGACGCGGACAGGTTGCTGTGATGCTTCAGCATAATCGACTTGCGCAACCGCTCGGGACTAGCCACACAGTGGCACCCGCCACTCGAAGGGCCGGCTGGGGAACTACCCAACACCGTCCTACTACTTTCAGCAGAGGTAGATGCCGATGGAGAGTTGTATCGCGTTCGTGCACCCTTTAATGAAATGATACTTTTTGAGCGCGCTGGGTGAGTATTGGACGGTGCTGCGTGTGAACTGTTGTTCTCTGAAGAGAAATTCGTAGTGGCCTCGTCTACATACTCTGGCGATCGTTTGGGTCGGCGAGAACGGCACCGACACTGAATAGATGCGAGAGAGACAAGAAGCTTAAGTCAGTCTACAAAAATAGGCTACATTGCATACGCACCTGTAGACGTGAAAAGATAGGATTCATTTGTGTACTATCGACGACAAGCAATTATGTGGTCACAGATTAATACTAAATAAATACATCTTACACAGATGCTTTTTGCTTTGATCGCAAGCCTGTGCCTGCTATGCATCTAAATTTCATCAGATGTAGCATGACTTCAGTGCCAAATAATGCAGCTAAAAAAAATATCAAAGACATTTAAAGATCTTAAGGTACGACTCAAGCAGGCGCGAACGAAGATGAAGTCTGTAAAAAGCTACAAAAGACCTTTTTCTGAACATATGTAAAGAAGTACACCATGGTCCACGGTGCGCAACTATCTGATATGCATCCAATAGCCACGTAGATCCGTAAAAAAACTACCAGCATGTGATCAGCGAAATTCGCATGCAAATAGTTCCTCGTCCTCTTTGCGATATCACACCGCAGTGACACGCACGACTACAAAAAGAATCTCAGTGAATGGCTGGAACGAACAGCGCGAATATACATTCAAATAAATATGCGATACCTATAATTGCACCTAGAAAACTTCGAGAGCGTGCGAGTACACATGGCAAGATAGCACAACACCTTCAGTGGCACATAAACCGAACAAGAAGCGTAGAAATACACCTGGCAGACTTGGGACAATACCTTTGGTTGCACATAGACAGCCACGTGTTTGGTAGGCTGTGCCTTCATCCATTTATTGACCCAATGGATGCGCTGCAAGGGCAAGGGCGGTGTAGCTAGTTTCCTTTGAGTGCTGAGGACCCGTTTGATCGCGCCTGGCACAGTGCTGGTGTCGATTTCCGAATCAGGCCTCTCGGGTTGGTATATGAGGCTGCTATGGACCAAGAAAAGTGTGAGTTCACGCATGTAAAGAATAAATGCAAACGAATTTGAAGTTGTGGACAGAACACGCCTCTGAGGCTTTACACTGCTTCTAAAAAAGGTAGTCTGACGATTGACATGCACTAGCTTTTAACACTACACAACAACCCGACAAGACCAACATTCGCAAAACAGACCAAAACCAGGCCACTACAAACACCAAGCTCGCACGCATACTTTGCGTCCATTAGCTGCTGCACTATCCTTTCGTACTGATCGGTTGCCTTGACCTGGCTGCGTTGCACCCTCCCTGCAGCTCGAGACTTAGAATGCGCACTGGACCTCTGCTCATCCGATAAGTTTGTGTTGCTATCCGTTCTGTTGTCTGCTGAGCTGGATCGATCGCTTGCACTTAACCGCTCAATTCGTGAGCTAGCGCCTACACTATTGCTTCTGTTGGCACTCGCCCGCAGGCCATGTCTACTATTATGTCTTTGGTCATCTGGGTTTTTGGCTGTTGGGGCGTACCCTGTAGCCGTGTTCGCACTTCTTGTACCGATATTGTCTGGATCACTTTCAATCCAACTTGCATGAGATGCGTCAGACTCCCCTTCCGCACCGCCATCGCTATTGTCCGCACTCGCCCGGCCCTTCATACTTCTCGTTCGTGCCAGTGCTGGCTGTCGACAAGACTTCGACGTTGCGAGTGTGTCCGTGCGTTTGTGTGAAGCCACAGACACGCCATCATACACACATGTATCACTGCCGTTGCTAGAATTCGACCGGCTGAGCGTCATCGTCGACGAGCTTTCGCGGTAGTCGATGCGAATAGACCGTCTCGGTCTAAGCGATTGCTGTGTTGGTTTCTGAATCTCTGGCCTACCTGTAATATGTACTTGCACGCCACTCTCGTCAAAGCCTTCTTCCCGGCATTGATCCTCTCGAGCTAATTTGCCGTTTGAACTTGTGCGCGCTTGAAGCTCCACGTGCCTTATGTGGCTCTCAGAGCTGCAGACGCTGCCACCGGTGCTGCTGGCGGTGCTCTCGCGCGCACTTCGGTCATAAGGTGTGCTCGATTGTGAGGACGGCTGTTTACGTGTCTGTGGATCTATCACTGTCTGTGTTTGTATCTGCGCGTGTGTGTTCGTGGGTGGATTTACACTTATATTATGCAGTGTGGCACTGGGCTGTGATTGTGTATTTTCTTGGCTGTGGTCGGGCAGCTGTACTCGGTCCTGCTTAGGTTGGTCAAAGGCATTGGCTGTATTGATCTCGCACGTGGCACATTGGCAGAACTCATTCTTCAAACCGAAGAAATGCGACCCATAAAAGATCAACAGTTCATCGCCGGGCGATATAGGCCGCATCACCTGTCATTGATGAAACGGCGAACCTGTCAGCCTCCGCCAGGAGTATACACACAAAAATCAACGCGTACGGGTAGGTGCTGGCTTTGCGTTCAGATCAAATTGTAAGCATGTATCTTAAGCGTAAAAGTCTAAACTGGCGGCAAATGCGCTTACATATGTAATACAATATAATATATATATATATGTATTTATTTATTAAATATATACATAAACGTATACGTATACGTGTACGTGTACGTGTACGTGTACGTATATGTATATGTATATGTATATGTATATGTATATGTATATGTATATGTATATGTATATGTATATGTATATGTATATGTATATGTATATGTATATGTATATGTATATGTATATGTATATGTATATGTATATGTATATGTATATGTATATGTATATGTATATGTACATGTACTTGTTTATATATATATATATATACATACATACATACATATACATATACTATATAATATATATATATATATATATTATGCACATATATATATATATATACATATATATATATATATATATATATATA